CCCCCCCCCCCAGCTGTCCGCTGGTCCATCTGGTTTCGGTGTGTCAGCGACCGTACACCTTAACAGTCCGTTAGAAGAATATATGCGCAAACCCCATAAAGACGAGCGAATAAATTTTTTCATTTTTCAAGGGATAAAATGCTGCAAAATATTAAAAGGAACCTATTTGGAGGCGATTCCTCCGAAGCTCTTACAGGTGACCCCGCCTCTGCTCTATTCGGATGTACAAAGATACGTTAGGAATTCTTTTCCCCCTTTCTACAAGAATTTAATCTTTTGAATTTTATATTTTCTTATTGGATACACTTCTGGTGTGGAGATGTAGTTGCTGTCGTTGGCCTTCTTGCTCACAGTTCTTGTTCTACTAACCGGTGGAGCGGCATTGGCACCTTCATTACCTGTGTTGTTTACTTACGGGGTGGGGGCAAATTTCTGGCTGCTGTTCGTTTGTTTGCTTGTGTCTGGAATGTTTGCTTATTAGCTCTTTCTATGTATATGTACATGAAGTTGGGCTGGCTGGCCTCTCTGCATCTCGTTCTGTTTCTAGCTTATGTTTGGTTTCTCTATACTATCCCTGTTGAGAGTTAGCTGTATTTCCTCTTGCCACCTCTCCCCGCTGCAGAGGCAGTTAAAGAGCAAAGAAAACATATTGCTCGCTCCCTTAGAGCCCTTGACAGACAACATCAAAAGGCAGAGGCGGAAGAAGACAAACTCCTTGCTCACCTGAAGGCGCAGGCCGTCGCTGGGGTATGTGCACGCATGCGCCCAACCCTATGCCTTATACCCTTAACACTTAACCCTTGGGAGAGATGGAGTTGGGGGCTGTGAGCTGCCTGCAGAACATTAGCAAACTGCAAACCAAGCAACTGCTCCTCCTGAGGAGAAGACGAGAGGCTATCCTGCGCTGCAAGGCGCAACTGGGAACTGCTGACCTCCAGGCAAAATTAACCCTAAACCCTTAACCCTAGGCTATATAAGCTTAATAGAGAGTTTAATAAGGAGGTGCAAGATTCACGTCCCCACTTCCTCCTGTTGGTGGGAATCAAGGAGCAGATACTCAGATATGAAAGATAGCGGTCGACGGTTGAGGGTTTAGGGTCGTGCAACGTTTAGGGTTCAGGGCTGGTGTGCGGCAGGTCCAGCAGCAGCAGGCGACTCAAGAACTGCACAGACACTTCACAGGCTGTGCTAAGGTGGGCGGGAAAGGCACCGTATACATCTAAACCCTAAACCCTAAGACCTGAAGTATGTCAGGGAAGAGTGTGCCTACGGGTTTACGTTTTGTGCTGCTGCTGCAGCTCCTCTCTCTGGCCAACAAAGCAGCTGATCTTCAAACAATGCAGGTGGCAGTCAAGGGCTTCACGCGAGAGTCCCAGAAACTGGGATTGCTGGTATTACACCCCTCAAGGATAAACCCTAAACCCCAATCCTAAACCCTAAGCCACAAACCTTAAATTTTTGCGTTCGTTTCTGCCATGTGGTTCTGCGCAGGATGAAATGCTAAATGAAGTTCTTGAAGATGGAACGGCGCACTTTGTCAGCTTATTGCAAGCCCTAAATCCTAAACCCTAAGAAAACCACAATTTGCTAGTTCCTAGTTCCTCAGGGGCAGACTCCAACCTCCAGGTTCCGCACTAGACGCAACCACTACGCCGAAAACCTCATCAACACTGTTGCTCTAGGGTTTACGGTTTAGGGTTAAGGGACATGGGATGCGCCACAGGAGGACGAGGAGGAGACAGAAGAAGAGATCCAACAAGAACTCATCGAATACGCGAACTCAGAGATCGACAGACAAGTCAGATCCAAACCCTAAAACATAAGCGCTAAAACCAAAACCTTACTGTTGAATGCAGGCGCGCAAACCTCAGGCAAACCTTCCAAGCAGAGCTCTTTCGAAACCGCTGAGGGTTAATAATTTAGCCATCATGGTTTACGGTTCTTAGTTTAGACTAATAGATCGAAGGCGAGACACCGGGAACCCTGCAACCCAAGCCCTAATTTTAAGCTTTACTTGATAAATGCAAACTCTAAGCCGTAAACCCTCCAGCCTGTCGTTCTCTCTTGTCTGTTCAGTTGCCTCTGCAAGAGACCGTGTGCAAGTCGCCCATCAGGGATGTCCCTCTACTAGGGCAGGTGCAGCAGCAGCAACAACAGCAGCAGCGGCCGCAGCGACCCAAGCTCCAGCAGCAGCAAGCACTTAGAAAGCCAAAGCAAATGCTGCTGCAGCAGTTTTCTACCAACCAGAGGACAGCTACCAGGGCACCATGGCTATGTGCCTATAAACCCTAAACCCTAAACCTTGACTCCGTAGCCCTAAGCCCTAACCGTAACCGTCACGTCTGAATAGCCCTTTTATACCCACTTCCCCTTTCGTGCCTCTCCGTCCGCAGAAGGGGTGTTTAGGGTTTGAAGTTTAGGGTTTAGGGTTTGGAGTTTGCGGCATGCGGATTGCAGCAAAGGACGAAGCCACAATGGCAGAGCAACTGGAGCAGCGGCTGGGTTCCCTTTTGCGTTAGCTTTTAGGGTTTACGGTTTAGGATTGGGAAACTGCATTTTGGGGCTTTTGAGATGTCTGAAAAAATTCTCCTGGGGATTTTTCTTTTTTCTCCTGTGTGTGGTTTTGTGCCAGTTTTGTTTGGGGCGAGTGTATAGGGGTTTTTAGGTGTAGGAGCGTCCAAATTGGCGAACTTTGTCATAAAAATTTGTGTTGTTTGTCTTTAAAAAACAGCTCATAAATAAAGAAAACCCCACAAACCCTAGAAACTGCAGCTGCCAGCAGCGAGGTCCCTTGTTGATGGTTTAGGGGTTAGGGTTTAGGGTACGAGTGTGTGTGCATGCAGCACGAGTTAAGATATGGCACGGCAACGAAAAAGCCAAACCCGAGGCAATAGGAAAGAGAGAAACAAGAAACAAATATAGATAATTATAAGATGACACGGAAAAAAACCAAGACACACACCACTACAGAGACACAGCAAGAATCACACAACGGTAATACAACATTGCTGCGACGGGGGGCAAATACACGAAGAGAACAGCAAAGCGATACACAGATAGAGATAGTACACATAAGGAAATTGAGAAAGAGGGAAAAACTATACACAATATATGTATAATATGTATGCAGCAACTAAGAAAATCAACACCAATAATAACAATAATGGCGAAGGTAGTAGCAGAAGGCCATTTGTTTTGTTCTGTTTGCTCTTACTTGTTCGCCTTGCAAATCAAAGAGAAACACACACAGACAGGAAAACCAGAAACCAAACAAGGACAGACACATAAACAGGGAAAGACGAACAAAGCCCAGTAAACAAACAGGTACAAAACAGACAAAAGGAAACCAAAAGGAGGAAGACAAAAGATGCCAAACCCTAGAATAAACGGCAAACGGAGGTAACTGGCAAAGGGACGAAGAATTCCAAAGAGCCATTTGAAGCCAAAAAGGTAATAGCAACCATAAGCAGAGGGAGACAGACTGTCGCAGATCAACAGAAGGGTGTATAGGGTTTAGGGTCTCTACGAGTGCGAGAAAAGAGGACAGAGCATTGCAAAAAGGAGCAAACAAAGCAAAATACTGCCCTCCACTTCCCGGCTGGGCAACTGACTAGAAATCTATCTGGCTAGCCAGTTGCTGTTCACCAGGCAAGCAAGCCACCGAACTAGCTAGCTAGACGGCTAGGTGGCTAGCTAGCTAGCTAGCGGGGCATTGCGTAAGCTTGGGTCTCGATTTCGTCTCGCAAGACGGAGGCTTTGAGGCGATTAGCAATTTTTGGAGCGGGGCGAACATTTAGTAGAGAAGAGGAAGGAGGAAGAGAAGAAAAAGCTGAAGCCAGACACAGAAAGAAGACACAAAGACGCCACAATATACCCAGACTAGCTGACTTTAACGAAGCAGGCAGGCAAATTGACAAGCAAAAAAACAGAAAAGACGAAATACAAAGAAATAAGCAAACAAACAAACAGCAACAGCAAGGGGCAAACAGACAGAGAAGAAGAGAGACAAAACGGAACAGACAAGGAGATGCAAATGCAGAAATACAAAGAGGAACACAAAGAGAAAGACAAAACTATGCTCATTATTACTTCAAGCGATACAAAAGAGCATACCAATAAGTACAGAGACAAGGGGAAAGCTCGAAAAACACATGCAGAAATAAACAGAAACGGGGACAGAAAAGGAAAAACAGAGGCCGGCACACAAAGACAGAGGCTACGACAAAAGTACAGAGATATACACGGAGGCACAGCCTGTCTCTTTCCCTTGTAATATCCCTGTCGCTTTTCTCTGTGTCTGTCTGTATATCTATTCTTCCGAGATCTGCAGATTGCTCCTCTGTCTGCTGCTTGTCCAACTAAGTGTAGTTGTTACTGCTGCTTCTGCTGCCGTTGGCGCAATATTCTGACCTGGTGGTGCTGTGTCTGCGTATTGCTGGAGTTCTTCTCGTTTCATTTGCTGCTGCAAGCCCTCAAACCAACACGCTCCTGCCACTTCTAAAGCTGCTGCTGCTGCTGCTGCTGGTGCTCCCGGACCTCCGAGGGCTGCCAAATGTCCAGCAAACATCTGCTGGTGTTGCTGCAGTTGCTGCGGCTGTACTTGCTGCTGGTGCATTTGCTGCGGGTGCATTTGCTGCGGGTACATTTGCTGCGGGTGTATTTGCTGCGACTGCTGCAATTGCTGTTGAGACTGAAGTGGCTGCTGCTGCTGCTGCTGAAGAAGACGAGACACCATTGGGGGCGAAGGAGCAATGATATCTACAACAGAACACGCCACAAGGCAAACCCTAAACACTAAACCCCAAGGGATATATGAGGAACTCGAGACCCTGCTGGTGCTGACGGCACAACCGCACCCACAAGCCCCTGAGGAGGTTTGCACGAATGTTTATGTGTTTATTTTTGTCAACCAGAGAACAAAGGGTCTAGGGTTTAGGGTTTAGGAGTACCGTAGAGCGGCCTGACGATGCCTGGAGCTTTTATAAGATCGTAAGTGTTGGTCTGTGGCTTCGAACCCAACCTTCGGAAATTATTGGTAGTGTTTTGCTGCTGCGGCATGCAAAATGTCGTCGAGCAGGAAGCAGCTCCTCCCATGTAGGAGACATCTCTTTCCTGAAACCCAACAGCACAACTATAAGCCTAAGCCCTAAGCCATCACTCCCAGAGATCCCCCTATACTGTTATTAAATAGCCCTCTTAGGCTTCACATCTTCCTCCCACAGGCGGCATCGTAGTGTTGGTTTGCGATCTAGTGTCTAGTGCTTTGGGTTTAGGGTTTAGAGTTTAGGTTTTAGGGTTTCTGACGTGGTTGGCAGTTGAGGGTTGTCGTTCTGCTTCTGGCGGGAAGATAGCCTGCATGTTGTCTGCTTGGTTTAGTTTGTTTTCTGCTGCTTTTTTAAGGACTTTCACTACCGCGACAGACTCCCGTGTTTTATCTACACGCGACACAGAAGCTAGCTGCAGCAAACAGAAGGAAAAGCAGCAACAGTTTGAATACATGCACAGCCGCATGAGGTGCAGAGATGTACAGCTGCAGCTACAGCAGAAGCAGCAGCAATAGTAGCAGCTTTTGCACGTTTTGCAGCAGTAGAAAGAGACAAGCTCGAGGTGTACTTACACTTGGAAGCATCACAGTATTCTGCGTGCTGCCTGCTGCTGTTGCTGCTGCCCGCTGCAGCAACTCAGAAACACTGGGGATTGTCTCCACTCCCCTCATGCTAGCAGATAGCTTGAAGTCCCGCTGTTGGTGCTGTTGCTGCTGTTGCTGCTGCTTAAGCTGCATCTGCAGCATGTGCAGTTGCTGTTGTTGCTGCTGTTGCTGTTGTTGGTGGTGGTGCTGCTGCGTCGGCGGCACCAGTATTCCCCCCACCAAGAAGCGGCACTCCGACGGATGAGCCTCTACGTGCATCCCGCTCTGCAGCAAAACCCTAAACCATAAACCCTGAACCTTAAACCCTATTCTCCAAACCATAAATCTTATACGATCACTGCAGCCCTGCCGTACAACCCGTAAAACCCGACCTGTATGTGCCAGAACGTTGTCCAGCATCCAACCTCTATTCCCCAATCCCTAAATCTTTTTCCCTACTTTGAGTTTGACGATGAGGTTATTTGCAGGACTAATGCCGACGACGCTTCCTTTGCCTCCTCCTTTCAGGTGTACAGACACATCTTCAGCAAACGGACTTTCAGCTGTAGGCTTGCTAGTGACGGTGCTGCTGCTGCTGCCTCTACAGGATTGCTCGACTGTGCTGCTTTGTCTACTGTTGCTGCACATGCTGAGCTGTCCCGCCCCTGATGCTACTCCTCCTGCTTCGACCTCTTGGTCATTGGGGAAATATACTGGCAGTTTGATGGGAGGTAAGGGCTCTGGCTGCTGCGGCTTGAGCCTGCAGCAGCGACAACAACAGAAAAGCACCACCAGATAATCCCTGTCCAAGACTACGCCAGCCAATGAAAGAAGCACAAACGACAGCAGCAACAACGGCAGAAAAAAAAGGCGGTGACGGCAAAAGCCTATATACACGCATTCTATATCCGATAAAACAGCACCACAGCAACAGTAGAAGCAGCAACAACAACAGCAGCAGCGACAGCTGCAACAACAACAGCTGCATCGACAGTAGCAGCAGCAGCAACTGCAGCAGCAACAACAGCTGCAAACGCATTCTATTTTACGCGTTGCAGATATTTCTCAGTCCTTCTGCTAGCGTCCAATGCGCGTGCGTTTTCTTGAGTGGCCGTCGCATTTGTTGCTGTTGTTGTTGCAGTTTGAGTGCAGCAGCAGCAGCGCTGACGGTCTGTACGGGAGCAGCAGCAAAGCGCTGCAGCTCGGAAGCGCTGCGGGCAAAAGCAGCGTATTGATGGCAATCCTCGAGACTATCGAGATGAGGAAGAAGCGAAAGCGTAAGAGAAGGCCATAAGTGCTTCTGCACTCCTTCAGGTGTGCATGCCGCTGGTGGTTCAATCAGGCGACCCCCGCTCTTGCTGCTGCACGGATCCTGCTGCTGCTGACTTTGCTGCTGTTGCTGCTGCTGAGAGGAAGAAGACGACAGAAGGCGGTGTTCTATGTCGTGGTCCTGCTGATCTTGCTGTTGCTCCTCCTCAGAAGCGTTTGACGGCTGCCGCACCGCACCATCTTGCTCTTGCTGCGGCTGCTGCTGCTGTGAGCTCCTGTTGCTGCAGTTGCTCGACAACCGGCGGTCTCCTGTGATTTCCTCTTCCTGTTCTTGCTGCTGTTGCTGGTGAGGGGGTATCCAAAGGTTGCTGCTGCTGCGCAGTTCTTCCTCGCTGCTGCCTCGAAGCGGAGAGGCCCCATAGCTGCTGCTGCCGCTGCTGCTGCCGTCTGTAGAATGCAGCAGCAAATAATCCTCCAGGCTACCGGAGTAAGTTGTGACAGCAACGAGTTTCCCTGTCTTTGTTGTTGCTGCTGCTGCCGTTGCTGTTGAGTACGCTGCAGAGTCGGAGCGGCTGGACAGGCCATCGCTGGATGCTGCCGCTACAGCTGCTGCTGCGGCGGCGGCGGCTTCAGCTGCAGCCTGCCTGCGGGTTTGAACGAACAATGCGTGCTGCTGTTGCTTTGTGTGCAGGCGGCGCTGCTGCTGCTGCTGCTGCTGCTGCTGCTGCTTGGGCCGCTGCAAACGCGCAGGTCGCACTCGCTGCGGGGAGTCTACTGAGATTCCAAACATTGTAAAGGTTTCAGTGTAGGGGTTAGGCTTTATCGTTTAGGGTTTAGGCTTTGAAGGAAGGCGTAGGCTGCTCCCGATCGCCCGTCACTGCGCCAGTCGGCAGCAGCAGCAGCAGCAGCAACAGGAGCAGCAATGGCAGTTGAGAGTTCCTGCTGCAGCGTTCTCTCGTGGTATATTCGTTGTTATTTCTGGCTTTTTATTTGGACGTATAAAAAAAGAGAATGGAGAAAAAGAAGAGAGGAGAGGGAAGGTGACGGCTCAACGGCCGCTGCGCCCTCGAAGCATCGACACCAACGGCTGCTGCTGCTGCGGCGGCGGCGGTGGCGGCAATGATCCTGAGGGTTTAGGGTTTATGGCTTAAGGTTAGGATAATTCGAATCTTCACAGGAATGTCAAAAAGAACAATGGACAAGTGATTTAAAGAAAGAACATTCGACAACAACGTGGGCTGCCGCTGGCTAGTCGCTGCTGCTGCTGCTGCTGCTGCTGCTGTTGCTGTTGCTGTTGCCGACTAGGTTAAGCCCTTTGACAAATTTCGTTTATTATAGTCTAACTATAACACCCCACCACCACCTGCAGCTACAGCAGCAGCTGCTGCTACTATTTCACCAAAGAGCACCGCCGACCGTGCCGGTCTGTTGGTTACAATGCAGATTCGCTACTGCCCAATCCCTAAACCCTAAACCCCTCAACCCTAAACTATACGCCTTCAGATACAAACAATCTCTTTAAAGTTGTTTTAACTGTTTATCCTCTGTGGCTGAACCCGCAACCTCCCGCCCCCAGTGTATGCGCTGTACAGACACATCGTGCCTCCCATGGCTGCAAGCAACGATCTGTACGTCCACCGGATTTCTCTGCATAACCTGGGGGATGCATCTGGGAATGGGAAAAAGCATTAAACGTAAGAGACAAACTAGAGACTCATTTTTCGATGCAGCTGCAGCAAAAGACACAACTGCTGCCGCAACAAAACATGCAGCTTCTGCAACAGGCGCCCAGCTCTGCAACCTGCAACCAGATCTCCCGGGCCTGCGATGCTTCTGCTTAAACACCAGCAACAGCAGTCGGCGTCAGCTGCTTTACTGCAGGATCCCTCAAGCAAGCGCCAATCTCCCAGCTATCTGGCAGAGAAATGCAGCTAGCTATCTAGCTAGCTGCCTAGCTAGCTTGCTAGCAGCAGGCCTGCCAAAACGCAGAAGCAAACAATTCTGTATTGTTCGTTCAAATGGAGGTGTTCATACACCTCAAAAGCACACGAAGAGCCTCAGCCAGCAGCATGCAACTAGCTAGTGCCTTGGCTAGCTAGTTGCAGCCCCTCCCCATAGCTAGCTGCTGCTGCAGCTAGCTCGATGGAATAGGCTCCTTGTGCATTAGAGGTGAGCCGTGAGAAGAAGTTAGCGGCAGGGCTTCAATGCCGCTGCTGCAGTTGCTGCAGCTGCTCCCACTGCTGTTGCTTCTGCACACAGCAGAGCTTTCAGCCAAGCCCGTGCGGTTCCCGACGCCCCCTGGAGGAGCTGCTGCTACTACTGTTGCTGCTCCACCTGCTGCAGGGGAGCCGATTTCAGAGCGCAGTTGCTGCTGTCTTGTAAAGATGGGCAGCAGTTGCTCGTCTCCCTCAGCATCGCTGCAGGTAGGGTCTGCAGCAGAAGCAGCAGCAGCAGCAGCAGCTGCTGCAGCAGCAGCAGCTGAAGCTGCTGCCTCCGGGTCCCTTATATCTGCTGCCTCTGTTGCAGCAGCAGCAACACCTGCAGCAGTTCGCGCTAGGTGTGCAGCTTTTTCGGCTGTCTCTTCCGCTGTCCCTAACCCTGCTGCTGCCGCCGCTTCTGCTGCTGCTGCTGCGGCGGCAGCAGCAACTAGAGGCTGTACGGCGGCTGCTCCCTGAGCCGCCGCTGCAGCAGCCGCAGCAGCAGCAGCAGAGGCCAGAGGCTCATAGCTCAGCTGCTCCCCACAAGTAAAGAGACTCAATCCTGCTGCTGAAGTTCCAGCAGCAACCATCCAAGTATTAGAAGCAACGTCTGTTTCTTTTTTACTTGCTGTTGCTGCTGCTGCTGCTGCTGAAGGAGAAATGCCCCCGAGGTTTGGGACACGGTGCTTCTGCTGCTGCTCCTGTGGCTGCTTCGCCTGCTGACGCTGCTGCAGCACCATGTGTGGCAGCTTCTCAGATGGCAACGCAGCAGCTGTAGCTGTCCCTATCGTTGCTGCTGATAGTTCTGATGGTGCTCCTGCTACGTCATCCACTTCTCCTGCCCGTTCCTGCTCTAACGGCTGCTGCTGCTGCTTCTCGTGCTGTGGCTTCGGCTGTAGCTGCTGCTGCTGCTCCTGTTGTTCTGCTGCTGGAGCTTCTCCCCTGAGCGAAGGTCCTTGAGGTTGCCCAAATAGAGGCGGCGACGCAGCTCCATGCCTCAGAGCCAGCTGCTCTTTATGCTGCTGCTTATGCTGCTCGAGGGGACCTCCCCGCAATAATAGCCGTTGTCTCAACTCCTCATGAAAGGACAGACGTTTTGCTGCAGCTTTCTCCCGAGGCGACCCGGAGGCTGTCTGTCTAGCGTGCTGCTGCTTCTGCTGCGTTGGTGCTGTTGCCTCTGCTGTTTCCGCGGCAGCAGCAACCTGGTGCTGCCCTTTTTGGCGGGTGGAGGACTGCTCGGGGCCTCCAAAGGGTATTCTCGTGCTCTGTTTAGGCTTGGCAGCAGCTGCTGCTGCTGCAGCAGCTGCTGCTGCAGCGAGCTGCAGAGGCATTAGCTGCGATGTTTGCTGCTTAGCAGAAGGCCCTTGAGGCCTTAAGGGAGGGGATAGTGCGCACGGCTCCCTCAGGAGACACTCCACCGTTTTGTCCCCTGGGGCCTCGGCGGCTGGTGCTTCTGCCTTCACATTGCTTCTGGAGTTCAGCTGCTGCTCACGCTGCTGCTGCCGCAGCCGCAACACCCCTGAGTCCTCCGTGCATTCCCTGTGAATGGCAGCAAACAAATCGCGCCGAGGCCGTATGTAGGCGCTGTTGCTGCTGCTGCGGCTGCTGCTGCTGTTGCTGTTGCTAGTGGTGTTGTCGTTGCAGACGAAAGACTCCCCATCCTGAGGCTGGTTTGAGGTGCGCGTAGGAGGCGCTGTTCTGCTGCTGCTGTTGCTGCTGCTGCTGTTCGCCGATTCTGATCCATACAGAGGCTGCATGATCGATTGAGTAAGTCCTCTGCTGCTGTTGCCACATGCGTTGTCGTTGCTGGTGTTGCAGCCCGTTGCAGCACGAGCGTCGCTCATTTTGTCGTTGTTGCTGCTACATTTGCTTGCTGCTGCTGCTGCGAGCGCTGCAGGAGACGTCGGCGAGTCACTCAGGCGGCTGCGGCGAAGCAGCGGCTGAGGTTGGAAGAGCGGCAGCTCCGCCAGGCTGCTGCTGCTGCTGCTGTTCGCGTTGCCGTTGGTGCTACTTCCGCTGTTGTCTCTGGTGCAGGCAGCTGTAGAGCTCTGAGCATCAAAAAATGAATCTTGAGAAGTGTCCTTCTCAGGTAGTGATGCTTCTGTTGCTGCCGCCGCTGCGGTCGTTGCAGCTGTTGCAGCTGCTGCTTCCGCAGGGGCTGCAGCCGGTCTTCCTTCAGGGGGAGGCAGCAACAATGGGGCTCCGTATGCTTCATCTGCTGCTCCTCCAGTTGCTTCTGCTACAGCCCCTGCAGTGGGCAGAACGGTAGCAGGGCCTGACAGTTTGGGGAAATCGCTGCTGCTGCTGCTCTTGCTGCTGCTGCTCTTGCTGCGGCTGCTACCGCCGTTTCTAGCGAGGCGGGGGGGGCTGTGCTGCTGCTGGGGCTCCCGTAAGCTGATGGAGGCAGTGCTGCTGCTACTCTGAGCTCGCAGCAACAGCCGCCGAGGGGGAACAGTAGCAGTAGCAGAGTTGGGGCTGCATACGTCTGGTGCTGCAGCTCCTCTTGCTGTTGCTGATGTTAAAGCCGCAGCAGCTGCTGCTGCTGCTGAAGTGAGCGAGGCGGAGCCGAGCGATTCAACGGGCAGCAGGGAACGTCGCGTGTTGCTGTTCCAGTCTCCTGACTGTCTGTGTTGCTGCTGCTGGTGCTGCTGCTCTTGCTGCTGCAACTGATGCTGCGACGCCAGGGGCTCTGGCCTCTGAATACCCAAAGTCAAGGACGGAATGCCGGTTGATGCAGGAGAAGCAGGTGCCCCAGCTGCGGTTGTTGGTGCTGCCGCGGTTGCCGCTAAAGCCGCAGGTGTTGCTGCAGTAGTTGCCGCTAGGCCGTTTTGCAGATTATCTCCTCTGCACATCGCACCAGGGGACCGCCTGGCTGGCAGCTTCAGTGTAGCATTTGTGTCCTGGTTCTCTTGCTGCTGCTGCTGCAACAGCCGCTGTTGCTGCAGGTCCTGCTGCTGCTGATGGTGATGCTGCTGCGGCAAGGGAAGTTGCTGGGTGAGCTGCAGCTGCGACAGCGGAGGCAGTAATTGGGTGGGAAATTGCAGCGACAGCTGTTGCTGCTGGTGGTGGTGCAGGTATTGCTGATGCAGGTCGTGCTGTTGCAGGTGCTGCTGCTGCTGCAAGTGCTGCTGCTGCTGCGGGTTCTGCGGCTGCTGCTGTAGCTGCCGCAGAAACAGCTCAACTGCTTCATTACTGCCTTGGGACATAGAGGCATCTGAGAATGCCCACATGTTCTGCTGGTGCTGCTGCTGCAGTGAGTGTTCTATATCCGAAGGTATCGTGAGGATTGGTTGGTACTGCTGCTGCGACTGTTTCTGCTGCTGCTGCATGCGCAACCGCAGCAGCTCCTGCTCCGCCTCATACTCCGTTGCATTTTGTTCTTGGGCCAACTGATATGGCGGCTGCTGCTGCTTGTGCTGCAGTGAGTTCTGCAGCAGGGCATCGTAGCCTTCTGCGTGTACACCATAACTGCTGCTACTGCTGCTGTGGGCTGCAGCAGGCTGAAGAAGCGGGGAAGGGTGCATGCTGCTGCTGTAGTGCGCAGCAGCTGATAGTTGCTGCGGCTGCTCGTGTAGCTGGTAGTATCCAGGCTGCAGCTGCAGCGGCTGCTGCTGGAGCTTCTGCTGATGCTGGGGCAGCAGCTGCTGCTGCTGCTGTTGCTGCTCAGGACAGAAGTGATGGGGGGGAGTTATGTGCGTCTGTAGCAGCAAACGCCTTTGTGTCGGCCAATCCTGTTGTTGCTGCTGCTGCAGCGGCTGCTGCTGCAGATGCTGCAGATGCTGCAGCTGGTGCTGTTGGAGCAGCTGCAGCCGTGGCTGCTGCAACAGGTGCTGCCCATTTTCGGGTGACAGTGTAGTAGTGACTCGCTGGCAGTTTGTCAGCTGCAACAAATGTTGCTGCTGCTGCTGCTGATGCTGCATAAGGTGCGGCACCATCTCGCTCGCATGCACAGAAGCCGCAAGAGGAGGTGCAGTACTAACAGCAGTAGCAGCAGCAGGAGCACAAGCAGCAGCAGCAGTACCACAAGGAGGAGCAGCAGCAGAAACAGCAGCAGACACAACAGTTGTTTTAACGATTTTTGGAGGATACGGCAGCAATTCAAGCCCAAAAAGCGGCTCGGGTGTATCTGCACCTCCGCCGAACAAACAAATCCTGAAAAGACGAGAAGTGCCTCTGCAAACAACAACAAACCCTAAACCATAAACCCTAAACCATACGTCCTTAACCCTAGGCCTTTACGTAAAATGCTTAATCCCCTAACCGTAAACCCTTGAGCCTAAACCCAACGTCAAACCCTAGACTGTAGGCTCCACAATCTAAACCATCCAGCCCCAATACCCCGAACCCTATAACCTAAGCCCTAAAACCTTGGACATTCTTACGCAATGATATTTGCTTCAACGAGAGCAACGAACTGCGACTCCAGCAGCATAGGGGTGTATGGACACCTCAGCAAAGCGAGGCAACCAGCCAGAGAGGGTGGCAATCCTTGAGCCTTCACCGCTGAGCTCCAACCCACAAACCCTAAACCCTAAACCTTAAACCCTAAACCTTACGAGACAACGAGCTAAGGTTTACGGTCTGAGGACAGGTTAGCTTCTCATCAGCAGGGAGATTAAGGCTTTAACTCGCAACGAAGCAGAAGCTACAACGGTTTAGGGATTTGGGTCTATCCGCAAGGGTTTAGTGCTTAGGACTAACGGTCAACTGCTTTTGAGTTGCACATGGCCGCCCTGAATGCCCCGTAGCTGTTTTCTGTCCAGACAGGCACCCTTCTCCGGCTGATGCCCTGGTGCTGCCGCTGGTGCTGCTGGTAGACTGAACGGGAGTCGTCGGCAAAATAAGCAAAGATCATCCGAAGCCTCAGCTGCGCTGCTGCTGCTGCTGGGGTTTGACAGTCCAAGAGCGCCACCAGTCTGGTAAATAAAGGCAGATCAACTCTCCCCCTGCCTCCCGCAGCAACAAGACCCAGCCGCTCCAGACAGCACTTGCTGCTGCTGCTGCTGCTGCTAGTGATAATTTTGGTGCTGCCGCTGCAGCAGCAGTATGGCGCATCAGCCATAGCTGCGTACGCCCCCCAAAACATACCCAATTCTGCTGCGCTAATAGTGGCTGTTCTAGGCGCGGTGGCAGCAGCAGCTGCCGCAACTACTGCTGCCGCTGTCGGCGTTCCTGCTGCTGCTGCGAGAGGAGAAGGTCGCAACAGCTGATCCACTGCAAGCAAGCGGTTGAATATAGCTGCGATATAGTCCAGTTGCTGAGCGGAATATGCTGCAGAACCCCACAGCTGCTGCAGCAGTTGCTCATCCCACGTAATAGGACAAGGCTTTGTAGCAGCAGCTGGTGCTGGTGTTGCTGCTACTGCTGTTCCTGCTGTCAGCAAGGGGGCGGACACCTCAGGTGCTGTCGCTATACGGGATTGTTGCCATGGAAGCGTTAATAGCTGTTTGGGTTGCAGGGCCGCCCCGCTGTTGCTGCTGTTGAGTACGTATGGGGCAGCAGCAGCAGCAGTAGCAGGCGCTGCTGCTGCCTCTCCTACAGCAGTCGGCTGCTGAGATGGCAACGAAAGGCTGGATGGCTGCTGCTTCCAAAGCTGGTGCTGCAGCTCCCACTGCTGCTGTTGCCAGTGGTACTGCTGCTGCTGTGGTTGTTGCCAGTGATACTGGTGCTGGTGGTGCCACTGCTGCTGATGATGTGGCGCTTGAGACCTAATTAGGGGAGCTTGCAAGCTGCTGCTGCGACGGTTGTGCAGAACCTGCTGCTGCAGCTGCAGGTCCTCGTGCTGCTGCTGCTCTGAAGAAGGTAGCAGAACTGAGGCGCTGCTGCGCCGCATTGTCGCCCCACTTCTCATGATTGCCGCTGCTGCTGCCGTCTTTCCTGTATGTCTTGCTGCTGTCCCAAATGCTTCAGGTGGCAGTAAATGCGCTGCTGCAGCAGTCACTGAAGCGCGGGCGGCTGAGGCCAGCGGCTGGTCTGGACAAGGCAAGGGCTACTGCGTAGCTGCTGTTGCTGCTGTTGGAGCTACACAGGTTGCTGCGGGGCTTGAAGTTCGTGTTTAAGAAGAAAACAAATTGCTGTGCTTGTGAAGATGTAAATGCCGCTGCTGCAGCATCTATGCAGCTGCAGTTGTTGCTGCTGTTCCCCTCGGAAACATCAGCAGTGTGCGGATCTGCTGCTGCTGCTGCTGCATCCAGAGCCTGCAGCAGCTGCAACGCGGCGCGAGAAACAAAAAGTCCATTCCACATAAAACAAAGCCAAGTGCGAAGTGTGTCAAGGAAGAAGGAAGCAGAAGCGGCGGAGATTAGCCGCTGCTGCTGCTGCTGTTGTTACTGTTGCTGCTGCGGGCTGCAGCAGGCGGCCGCCGCGCTGTCTGCAGTGGGTCTCTGGCGCTTCGCCTCCGTTTATTTTTTGAAACACAATGAATTTGTAACACTAATAAATAAATAATTTAATTTTAAAAATTGAAATGGTTTTTAGAGGGTATTTCGTTGAACTCCCTAGGCGGTCGTCCCGGGGAAGGTTGGCGGCCGCTGGGCAGCAATGCGGCAACAGGGTGAAACCGCTGGTATTTCTCCTGTTTAGTTTAAATAACCACCAGCTAATACGTAGCCTTAATTATTTTAACTCCATTTGGCCTAAAAGAAAGAGAGTTCAAGACCGGCGAAGCAATACCGGCGCCGCTGACTGCGACGTACAGACACTTGGGCCTGCAGCGGCTGTTCCCGCTGTTAATTTCTGCTCATTTTCAAGCCAAATTATTTGTGAACGTTTAGTTAACTGTCCACACCGAGGTGCTTAGCTCACAGAGAAGCAATAGGAAGAGCCAAGAAGGCGCATATATTCCTTTTGTCCTCTTGACTAACTCCGTGGGTCTCGAGGAGCAGTCCCTGCACCAACTTGCTACAGGTAGCCACAGGTAGCCACAACTAGCTACAACCCGCTACATCCCGCTACAGTTATTTGTAAGCAGCTATAAGAAGGTATATGCGGGTAGATCTGGCAATAAGTGGCGTAAAGAACTACGGGAGACTGTAACTGTCACATAGCGATAAAAGTCGCGCTCGATTATAGCCATATTCACTAACGCATAAATCCGTACAAATATCAGTATAAATGCCTGCAGGCAATTGATGTAATGTATGTAGATAGTAATCTTTGTTGTCAGTAAATGTCTCCGTGTAAGTAAAGACAACGAGGCGGATATCTAAAGGTGTGCGACACAAACAAGCGCGCAAAAGCGTATATTTGTATTGACATTAATTACCCAAGATGTATGTTCATGTTTACTCTCCAAGGAACCACTCTGGCATATCTGTTCTACTAAGCCCCAATAAATATAAATGGACAAAAGGAGCGAAACAGCATACAAACCAGCCGATAAATAAGCATGAATACACCATTTTACTAAGTCGTTAAATAATAACGGCATATAAACAAAATTATGCCCGGAACCCCGTCTTACATGCAGACAAACCCGACTAGAAGCAATACAAATCGTTTTCAATCTTTCGAACTTGTCTCTATAAAATATATGTATAAGTTAGTGCAATGCTCTCTATAACCATATATACTATAATATATATTATATATTATACTATATTGTATACTATAATATAATGTATATATTAAACATTAGTATGCTGTACGTGTGCTGTACGTTTGCTGTGCATGCCAAACTGATCTGAGTAAAACTTGTTCTTTAACTACTGCTAGCAACCTAGCAAGATCCAAAGGCTTTGCATGTTAAGCATAGGCATATACTTATGGTTTCTCCTGATTAGTTATATATACTAGCGCAAGCAATAAGTATATCTATATTCCTTTTTGCCTTTCTGTCTCATTTTCCTCTAATACAGAGATGCTACAGCCACCTGGGTAGTAGGTAACTGTTCAGCGCCTCCCCCAGTTGCCTGCTAGCTAATCTGCAGCTAGTCACCGAGCAGCTAGCTGTAGAAGGGCGGGTTTGAGATGAAGTGTATCTGAGGAAAAACGAGTTCACAAACCAAAACAAACAGAAAGAAAATTAACTGCAGCAGCTCCTGCTTGTAGCTGCTATCGTTGAAGCAGTTGCTGCTGCAGCTGCTGCTGCAGCTGCTGCTGTTGTACCACCTGTCGCAGCAGCGGCTAATCAGCTCGTGTGGCTGTCACGCCCGCATGGATCTCGGCTGCTACACAACAAACGAATAACGCAAATATTTCCCGTCCTGCTGCTGCTCCTGCTGCTGCTTCTTCTGCGAAGAAATATTTGCGTTGCCCGTTTGCTATGTAGCAGAATTGGGGTATTATTTATGCGTTTTAAAGGCTGTTTCCCTTAAGAAGTCTGCTGCAACGCGGATAGTTGCTTGGGGCTGCTGCGCATGCAGCCAATGACCGGCGTCCTGTATAGTCTGCAGTTGTGCTAGAGGGAAGTGGCGGTATATTGACTGCTGCTGCAGCTCAAAGTTTAGCCACGGAGACTTCGAGCCCCTCACGAACAAGATGGGATGTCGGTACACTCCACGTGCTGCTACTGCTGCAGGCAAAGACGGGTCGTGGATAGACAAAGGCGCAGCCGCCAAACCAAAAGAACGGTTTGTTGCTGTTAATGCATGCAACGCAGGCAAATCTAAATGCCAGCACAAACCATCACCATCATCATGCTCCTGCTTCTGCTGTTCCTGCTGCTCCTGTGGCTGCTGTTCCAGCTGCGGCTGCTCCTGTGGCTGCATTTGCGGCTGACGCGGTGGCTGTGGGTAGTGTTGCTGCTGCTGCTGCTGCTCCGAAGGAAGGTAGACTCCTTGGCCCTGTCTATCCCCTTGGCTGAATCGTGTTTGTTGCCTGAGAAGGTGCAGCAGTTCTTTTTCCCGTGTACTTCTGCTGCTGAGGGACAGAAGCAGCCAGTTGATGACAGCAGGCTTGATGGGGGGCTGTACTTGCTGCAGCGCTAGAGCAACAGCAGCCCTGCTTGCAAAGAGAGGCAGCGGAAGATCTAACAGCAAATCAATTAAAGCCGAAGACGCATACACCCCTTCCTTAGGCCGAGGTACGCGACGCCCCACGTCCAAGCAACACAAAATCCTGCTGCTGTTGCTGCTGCTGCTGTTGATACTGCCGCTGTTAGGAAGGAAGATGGTGGTTGTTTCTTTAGCAGGCGAATCTGGAGAGAGGTGGTCGGGGTTTAATAAATAGGGGGAAGGAGAAATATCAAGAATAACGGTGGCAGCAAATAAAGGCAGCTCAGCAGCATCGAGAGCTGCTTGCATGCATACCAATGCCCCAAAACTATGGCCTATCAGCACCAAACGAATCTGCAGCAAATCCAGCAACCCAGCCACACGACGCATTCCTTCCCAGTGAGGTAGCGTGCTGCTGCTGCTGCTGCTGCTACTGCTGCCATTACTGGTGGTACTGCTGGGTAATGGTATTCCTCTTTGTTCCGCCGTCTCTTTCAGCAGTTGATACAGCTGAGCATAAAGGTCGCGAGCCATTAGATGCACACTGATGGGGCCTCGTGAGCTGCAGCCGTGGCCCCGCAAATCGAAGGTAAACGCGCGACTCCTGCTGGTGCTACTACTACGACTATTAGTGCTGCTGGTGGTATTGTTACGAGCGGGCTCCTCCGTCTGCATTGCCTTGGCCAGTCCCGCCACGTAACTCCGCAAGTTGCGGCGACCCCCCAATATGCCATGCAGCGCCAGATACCACGTCTCATACTCACTGCTGCTGCTCGTGGTGCTGCTGGTGGCGGTGGTAAGCACCTCGGTAGCAGCGAGAGGGAGAGCTTCTGGAAAGAGGATTCGGGTCTCCTCGTCGAGCAGACGTAAATGGCAATATGGACCGAACTCACTGTTGCTGCTGCTACTGCCGGTGCCGCTGCTGCTGCCGGTGCTTGTACAGCTGCCGGTGTTGCTGCTGCTTGTAAAAAGTGGCATCCGAGGGACGGCAGCCCTGTCGCTTGTGCTCAACATGCAGCACCCCTGTTGCTGCGGTTTCTGGTGAAAATACGCCGTGGAAGCGCGTGGGCTTACAGAGTGGCGGAGGGGGAAGCACGTCTGCACTCGGGGCAGTAGTATCAAGTTGCGTTGCGGCAGCTGCTGGTGCAGCAGCTGCCGCTTCAGGAAGGCCATTCCCAATATTGGAGACAGCAGCAACAACAGCGAAACAAGTAGCATCTGTTGCTGCTGCTGCCTTCTCATGAGGAGGCTCTTCGGCAAAGCGCTGCACCTCCCTCCTAAAACTGAGCCGCTGTTCCTGCTTTTGCTACTGTTGCTGCCGTTGCCGTCGTTCTACACTCCAGGAAACGGAGTGAGGTTCGTTGAATCAGACCTTCCCTCTAAATTGTGCAGCTTCATAGTATCTAGCATATACATAAAAATGACGACGAGGTATTCTCTATGCATAATATGCTCCCTGCCTCTACTCCGAACAGCAGCCGCATCAGAGACGGGCTGGCCGTCGTTAGCTCGTTGCACTGGTGCCGTTAAACTGATCTGTTTTAAATGGAAAAAAGAATTTTAATTGACCTTCCAGCTGCATCTGGTTATGATGTACCTACACGTTGTGGCCGACGCCACATGGCTCTTCCGACCCGCTGCATGCAGGAAACATTACGGGTCCGTGTGTGTTCTCCCTCGTCTTTGCCTACTGTGTATTTGTTTTTGGTTTAAACAATATATTGATTTTTTTACGAAGAAGAAGGCGTGGGAATGTGTTTCCTGGCGCCCCAACATCTGCCCTCCCGCCATACACGGTGGAGCGCCCGCGGGCTCTGCTAGAGTGCCGCACTTGGTTCTAGCTGGAGCATTGGTCTAAACGACGCACTAAGTTATGCTGTCTAGCAAGCAGTAGTAATAAATGCCTGTATTCTGCCATGGTTGTCCCCCTAGGGGAGACTCAAAATGCTGGAATCTCCCTGCTGCGTCTCTCTAGTTGTAACGAGGTGCCCATGTTGCCGTGGCCCGTTGGGTTACTTTGTGGGCAGGACACGCATTTGCCCCTGCCCCGGACCCGAGCTCCAGTTCTGTTATAAAATTAACTAATAATTCTGTTTATTGGCCTTGTTTATGATTTGTGCGTGTACGGGCAATCACCCGTAGCCGTTGGCCGACAAGGTGGCACCGTGTGTCGATCTAGGGGTACGTGAGACGGTCGGTCCATGCGGCCGGCATCCTCGTGCCTCCTGCACTGCACTGTGTATCTTTCCCTTAGCTCCACAGTGACAGTGTCTTTTTCTCTTCGCGTTTGTAAGTGTTTTTTAGGCTTATTGCTCCCTTTTTGCTGTCTTTTAAAGCCGTTTGAGCTCTGCCTCTCCCTGCACGGCTCCACGCGGGCACAGGCGCGATGTCGGGTCTCGTAGGGTCTATGCAGTGGGAGGCTAAGACCAGCATGATGAATGGGGGAGACAAGTTTCTGGGTGCAGGAGGTGGAAGCGTAAGACCCGAAAGCTATTGGGGAGGGGTGAATAGGGAAGTTAATGCGCAAATAGAGGGGAATGCTGTTAGGGGCGGTCGCGTGGAAGCCCGCCCTCGTGGCGGCGGGTCCCGGGTGCCTACTTTGTTCGGGGTGATTGTTGCTGGCTTTATCGCTGCTGCGGCGTCGGGTTTCATGATGGTGTCCCCGCGTCGTCCTCTGCTGCCATCTTTGAGAGAAGTCTGGGCCGACGCAGTGGTCGGGGAGGAAGAGTCGTGGGGTTTACCATCTATGGAGGAGTTGGAGAGGAGAGCAAGCCCCTTTTTAGAGTACGGCAAAAAGGAGATAGCAGATTTTGTGAGGCGGCGGCACGAGCGGACCTTTCCTAGGGATGGCACTATAGGCGACGACGTGCTGACGACCATGGGCCAGATGCTGTCGGGAGGGAAAAACAACAGCTTAGTTGGAACTACCATTCGACTTAAGGACCTCCAGAAGCTGGGATCGGACGTGGTAGATGGCGGGGAGCATGAGTTTCTGGTGAAGAAATACTTGGGCGAAGATTCTTGGTCTATCTACGTTGAGGTCGTTGATCGTGGCAGCCAAAAGACGTATGCCATGCGGCTGCAAACCCTGCCGCACAGGGCAGAGGGAAAGGAAATTCGCCCTCAACTCGCAGAAGATCTGCTGCACCTATCTCTGCTGGATTCCACGATCGCAATGCTAGAGTCGGTGGGCAAGGCGCCGCTGGAGCAGGCGGCCGATCATAGGGGCCTGGCGTTGACCTCGAGTGTTGCAGCCATTGAAGGGTTGCCTAAAGTGGTGCAGTGCAAGAAAGTGTATGCAACTTCTAAAGTGGAGTTGATGGAACGGTTCCATGGAAGCTTGGAGGAGGTGTTTAACCGGGAGACTAGAATGCCTATGAGCGCCAAGCTGTATGCAGCTAGGAGGATGCTGGCGCAGGTGATGCTGCTGCAACAAGCCGGTCTCAGCCACAACAACTTGAAGCTACAGAATTTCTTCATGCGGCAAGATGGATCTTTCTACTTAACAGACTTCGATGCTAGCACCCGCATTGGGGAACCATTGGATAGAGTCAAAGGAGTCACTCTCCGCTACGCCGAGAGGGAGTTGGCTGCCGTTGCAGCCCAGGACGATCCCGATGCAGACCCCCCAGTCGTACATGCCAAGTCGGATATGTGGAGTTTGGGGCTTTGTCTGTATAAGATCTTAACCAACGGCGAGCTGCCTTACCGACTCGATGAAGGCATTCCAGCGTCCCGCATCTTGACCATGCTTGACCAGCAGGGAATCCGCAGCGACTTCCTCCTGGGGTCCCTCACACGCGCCCAAGTGCCACACAGATGGATCGGGCTGCTCAAGGGGCTACTGGAACCCAGGCGGGAACATCGCCTCGACGCAGAGGCTATTCTGGTTCACTTCGCCGACCTCCTTGATTGACATGGAGACAAAGAGAACACCGAATACACTTGCAAAGAGGGATGTCCGAAGGCTGGCTATCGGCGTTAGAAACAGCCACAGGGGAAGCGCATCCCTCGCCTCACTCCAAACATGCACATTTCGATTATGCTGCCGTCGATTCCGTTGGTTTTTCTGTGTTCTTGTGACCCAATGAGGAGCTGTTCCTGCGGAGCCAGTGACACTTCCAGGGAAATGCCGTTGCTTGCGGAGACTCCACCGCCTACGTTCAGGGAACAGGTGCTTCAACGTCTTCTTAGCTGCCGGTGAGTTGCTGAAAAACAGCTGTTGAACCTTCCATTGTTCAGCAGCTTCCTAAAACGGATCAGCCCATGTACCCTGCCCACACAGCTTCTTGCATTGCCAACAAACCAAAGACTGCACGTGCTAGAGAGAATCCAGTACGCTGCTCCTGCAGCGTCTGTGCCAACGCGACACCAGTGATGACGGTGCAGAATGGGGGAGTTGGGGCATCTTCTGCTGGTGGGCTTCTAGATCACAAAAACGGCGAGTCGCCGGTGTTCGGAGGCCTCCCCAGTGGCGAAAGCAGTCAAACGAATCCACGGCAAGATCTGTTAAGACGTGGGCTGTTGCAACAGTCCATAGCGGGGCGCCTCACCGTTTAAGGCACTGTGATTCGGTGTTGAATGCAGCCGTTTCTGTACTTTATTTTGGCTGGGGATGATACACTACGAACTTTTGTCCTCACAGACTGGTGTGTGCACCTGTGTGTATGTGTGCTTGCTCGCAATGACGACATTATATTATAGAAGGAGCTTCACACCTTGACACTCGAGATGGCGCCAACCGCACAGTAGCACACCAGACAGCGCCCAAGTAGCTGCATGATTAGCAACGCTTTCTTCCGTGTGCAACCTCACACTTCTAGTCACGGCCCGTCTGCCTTTAGGTCCCCGCGCAGATATTTGTACTTAGTGAAGGCTGAAACACACTTGTTTAAATGGGCGAACCGAGGATGGATAGGGGTGGCTGCCTGGAAGTGTATGAACTTCAGCAGTAGTACATTGTTACTGTGCATATGAACATATCTGTCAGTACTGCACGTTTCTAGAGAGAGGAATCAAAATATGAGTTACTCCCGCAGGAACTCGAGAACTTCGTTTCCTCTGCACTGATGAAAAATGAGTCATATACTGATTGAGGAACGCTCTATATTTAAAAGGTGAATATTCAAATTCTTGGATTAGACTGAGTGATTATGCCAGTTTAAGTAACAGAAAAATCAGTGAAATCTATTGCTCCGGAAGCTTAAAGCTCAGCTTCCAAACGACTTATATCGGAGGTAGTCTGGGATTAAGAGTTTGTAGGCGGTAGATAAAAGGTCATATTTGCCTATCCATAGCCAATACTCTAAACGGATATGGGAGAGAAGCTAAACCTTTGAATATTCTGGTGAGAATATCTGGGTTTTTTGCCTAACCCGTTTCTGAGAAGATCCTTCAAGATTCACCAGCGCTTAAACGAGACGGCCCAGGAGGCTGGCGTGCTCCTGCGTTCTTGGCTGTACCAGGAGGTGATGCAAAGCGCAACAGCCCTTTGGCCCTCGCTGGGGACTGTCGTGGGCTTCAAGAGGCTGCATACTTGGCATCATACTTGGCATCAAAGAGCTCAAAAGGGTAGCCATCCTGCTGCTCAGTCTAAAGGCATCCTGGGCACACTGACACAACTGAAAGTGTAGCTAGGGAGTTAGGCGGACCTGCGTGTGGTGCAACTGCACTGCAGTTGCGAATTCACTTGCCTTTCGTGTAGTTTTGACGTACTCTTTCGACCTGTACCGTTTGCATCTGCGGGGTCCACTACGGGCCCAGAGCTGAAGCTGCGTGAGATGTGGTAAAACGAGTAGCAGGTAAAACATAAAATACTGGAATGGGACGCGCTTTTCTCGGTTAGGTCAACTGTGACTGATGATATCTGTATTCACCCCCAGGCATCCTGGAATGGGTCTAAAAATTAGTTAGGACAGCATGAAGGGGGGTAGGGGTATATGGGATATTTAGAGCTAGTTGGGGGCATAGGAAACTTGAGTAAATTGACACAAACAAAGAAATCTTGAGTTGGGGTGTGCTGGATCCAAGTGTGGGCTTGATATCCCTTCAAAGCCCAGCGCCTGTGGGTTGGAGCAGCTTGCCCAGTGCAGGTGCATAGATAAGGATGAAAATATTCTTCTGACTACTTGCTTGGTCAGGTTTACTATGTTCACTGTACACAACACACGTCTTTAGGACCTATCCTTTGCAGCTTGCGGCTGCAGGCCCAGGGCCACTCCTCAGGTAAAGGCAATATGCAAAGGAGAGCTTTGTCAATGCGCCATAGCGAGTTTCCACGGGAAACTCACAAAAACTCCGTCGGGTCGAAGGAGATATTTGGCTTCATCAACCGTATTTAGATCAGTTGTAGTTTGGATCAATGGTAGGAGGGGAGAAACTAAGGGTTCGCTCATCAGAAGCAGTTCCTCTCTCACTTAAGTTTACCTTGCTACCCTACTATAGGACCCCGCCTGACCTCGATTAATATTCACTCGGCATGTAATGCGGATTGATACCGTGAGCTGACTGTTGCAAAACTCCGCTAGGGTGATATCCAGTCCCTGAGGGCAGTGAGATTCCTATGGTCCTAGACTCTTCTTAATGCTATATTCGGGCGAGTTTCTCATGAGGCCCGTCGCGTGCTGCAGAGAGCCTAGGTGTGACACTTGCTGTAGGACACATGCAATATATCCGACCCCCATTCTGATGCACGCCTATAATAACACTCCAGATAATTGTTATACAACTCGTTCTCTCATTGTTACCATCCTCCGCTCAGCTGGCACACATGTACCAACCGCAGGAAGGCTGGCAGCACCACTGTTCACCTAGTTACTGTGGAACGCACCAATGTACGGTGGCTGTTGTATGAATACCAAAATCTGTTGTTTTGATCAATATCAAAACCACAAGATCTCTCGAAGGCTTTGTGAACTTTACCGTCGAAGTCTTGCACAACCCCGGAGCAGCTTTGCTCACGGTGACCGCGTCTCGAACGGCGTGGCTTAAGGCTGTCAACAAAAGGCTATTACCGCAGAATGACGAAATTACATTTCGACCCATTATATATAAAAAGCAGTCAAATCGTGCCTATGATGCCGAGCATCCAGATACCCGTTGTCAGACATCGCGAGGAGCCTATGCGATCCGGACCCCGTCGAGACCTAACTTCCACAAAGACCTTTTATCGAAAAAAGTTAAGGTAACATGGACATCGTACATCAATGTATGCAACCATAAGCAGGAGAATACGCAAAAAGCAGTTGAAAGCACTTCTTCAGTTCTGCTTTTGCAGAAGCCGCAAAGGCATAACCCTCACGTGGGCCTGCGATCGATTGCCGATCTGCTAACAACGGCTCTTCCAAACAGCGCTTACTCATATTTAGTACTTGCTCTTTTTACTGTGCTTGGCTTTTAACTATTTTTAAGATGGAGACAACACCTACAGAGGGGCCACATACCTCTAGTCGCCCGGCTTTTAGGCCGCCTCGCGATTCAAAGGCGGTTGCCGCAGAGGCTTTACCAGAAGAAGCAGAAGATGGCGTCTTTCCGCTTAACTCCGGAAGACAGAGAAAGAAACGGGGTTTGGGCAAGATGGGCATTATATCTGCATTGATCATCGGTGGTTTACTTGCAAGGGCGGTTGGGGGACACTTGCTGCTATCGCTGCTGACGACGAACTGTAGGAAGAGCTTGCACGCAGCCTGGCAACAAGTAACGCCACGAGAGGCACCCTGGGAGGTGCCAACACTGGACCAGTATGAAAGGTCTCTGCCTCTTTCACTGCAGCTGGGGAAGCAAGTCCTTGCTGCTTCTGTGCAACTGAAGGAAAAGTTTGTGCCACCTGTTCCCGGGCAAAGGGCAGAAGAGCTCATGAAAACCCTTGCGAGGCACTTATCTAGAGGGGGGTCGGAGAATCTCGTTGGAATGGATGTCACCCTCAGCAACATGCAAGCCGTGGGCTCTGATGAACTAGATAGGGCCCCTCACAAGTTTACGGTCACGAAGTTTCTCGGTGAGGGAGGCAGGTCAGTGGTAGTTGAGGTGAAAGAAGGTGATTCAGGCAAGGCGTACGCCATGAGGCTGTCGGCGTTTTCTGCGGCGGCCAGTCAACCAAAACACGTCGCCCGCAAGTTAGTGGAACTCATGGGAAATGTGGCCCTCATGCAAGAGACAACGGCTATGCTGCAGGCGGCCGGTAGTACTAGTCCAAGCGAGGCAGGGGAAATGAGGGGGCTGGCAATGACTTCGAGCATAGCAACAATCGAGGGAGTCCCCTCCGTAATGCAGTTCTCCTCCAGCTACCTTCTGAGTGAGGTGGAGCTAATGGAGCGGTTTTCTGGGGACATGCTAGGTGTTTTCAATTCCATAAACAAGCTGCCAGGGGAGTCAAAGTTGTACGCAGGGAAGCGATTGCTACTGGAGGTGCTGCACCTGAAGCGTGCAGGTTTTAGCCATAATGACCTGAAACTGCAGAACTTATTTGTACGGGAAGATGGGACGTTTTTCATAGGGGACTTTGGCGCAGGGACGCTTGTAGGACAGCCTTTAGACAGGCTAACAGGCGTGACAATTCAATACGCAGAGAAGGAGTTGGCTGTCGCGGCCGAAGAAGACACTCCCGGCGATCCGCGTCCCGTTGCGGACGAAAGGTCAGACTTGTGGAGTCTGGGTTTGTGCCTGTACAGTATTTTCACAGATGGGAAACTGCCGTATGGTCTCGACACCACAGACAGCCCAGGGGCAACTTTAAAAGAGCTCGCTGAGCGGAAGGTCAACTCCAAGACTTTGAGGCGCGATCTTATGAAAGAAGGCGTGCCTTTGAGGTGGCAAGATTTAATCATAGACCTTCTAAAGGTGGAAAGGAGCGAGAGGATGGACGCCTGTACACTCGTTGCCAATTATGCCGATATTATCTATCTCTAGGGAATATGGCAGCCACTGCAATTCCGACAGTAAGCACTTTGCAGTGCTGAATCACTGCAGCATGTGGAGCCTCCCGTTCCGTGTTATGGAGCACAGGAGGCGTATTTAGCAAACAAAGGAATGCCATAGCAGCCATTCGAGCTTCACGAGCACATATTTTTCGGGTGTATAGACCCGGCGTGCGCGAAGTACAGCCTGCCAAAAATGGACTCCGCATCTGTAGTTGGTACCGTAGAAGCATGTGCTTTTTGAGCATAAACATTTGCATACGACCAGCAAGCATAACATTTGAATACGGCCAGCAAGCATAACGTATGTATACGACGAGCACGCATTCGGTAGCAACAGCGCAGCAGCTTCCCCCGCACGGGGAATCAGCAACACATAGAGGGCGGCCGCATGAAACCCCTCGAACAACAATTGATCGTGTCGACCGCATGTACATTTCTTGATGCCTACGTGTCCCGTCAACTACATATGCTACCGCTCCCCAGTGAGGAATACAAGTAGTCTGAATAGAGAGCAGAACCGACACAGTTCACCCCGGGGGAGCGATTCAACATTAGAGTATGCTATGTGTAGACACACTTACATAGATGGTGCTCCCCACGCTAGGCACTGACAACTGCTCAGTTTGAAGTGGACAAGTGGTAAGTTGGTGCACAGTACAGGCAGCTGCATGTTGCGGCACCCTTAGACCTTGCTACGCTGGGCCACTTCCGAGCTGCAGTCCTTGAGTTCGTCAGTTGGGGTTTCGCAGCAGATTCATGCGTTCGCTGGCCTTGCCTCTTCTGAGATGAATACACGGTTCAACCGTATGCCTTGGGGAGGCCACGGCCAAAACAGGTGAAGGTAGTTATAATATTTGCCTCTACCGAAGCGAACGATGGTAGGTGTTTATTTTCCTTTTATCCCAGCTAATTCTACTAACAATAAGAATAGACAGGAACTACACCCGGTCGGGGTGGAAAGTTGATTAACAAAGTTGTTCTGTTTCGTAGAGAGGTCTCCGGTGGAGACAACACTATACAACAACAGGATAGGGGGGAAGCAACATTATTCATATCGGCACGAATACCGCTCCATCAAATTCATGATGAAATACACAAAACAACTAAAAGCAAGATATACTTTGACCCTTTGTCGCGGCTTGGTTGGGCCAGTGGCCGTCTACACGCCCCTAGCATCGAGACTCCCCTCCCTCACCGCCAGCTGGATTTGGCCTTCGTTGATGTTTGCATCTTCGAGGTTTCCTTGCAGATCCATGCTGTCCTGTGCGGGAGGATCGATCTTCGCCCTCGCTGTCACTGCTGCTGCTGCTGCTGCTCTCCCCAAAGGCACGGGGCTTGTGGTAAATGCAGCAAATTTTGCTACTTTTCCTGCCCAAGTCCTCATTGTCAAGTGTGCCCTCCTTCCAGGCGACTTGCTTCGGAGTCTCTACTGGGGCAGCTTCTGCCGCTGCTGCATTCGCCGCATCTTCGGTTGTGACGGGCGGTGAAGCGGATGAGGAAGGAACGATATGTATGACTGCCGGTGTGACTGTTTCCGTCCTCGTTGTGCTTGCCATCTCCGGTGCATGCAGTGGGCTGTGCTTTAAACCTTTTTGTCCTGAATTCCTAGTTTTGCCCGCAGGACAAACACGCACGGAAAAACAACGGGGCTCCAAGAACGTGCAGGAGCCTACATATACTATACAGAGCAGGTGCAGCGTTACGCAAAACAACAAACTCTTCCAAAAGCACTTTCTGTTCTCTTATGACGAGCTTCCACTACCAGTCCCTAGCCACCCGACGAAATGCCCAGTTCAATCTTGCTGGCTGACAAAACGCTATGCGCCGGCGGTGCGTACAGCGCTGGGTGCCTCTCCTTCTGGTGCTTCCTGTGACAAAAAACTGCTAAAATGAGCGTAGTAGTCAAGAGAAGAACCCGAAAGATGGAAAAGAAGGAAGAACCAAAGACTCTGCGGGTCAAATGGGAGCGGCAGGCGAGCTGCACGCAGTGGCAGACGTCGAGATGAATTCCACAGCGTAATTGCCGTTATCTCTTCGAAGAAAACACCAAATAGAGGAAAAGGAGAACTAATGCTATAAAATATATAATTTCCCCTTTGCTACTGTCGTTAAGCCCTTGTCCTATAGGGGGCTTGGAGGCCGTAGTGTGTAGCGGAACTTACTGGGGCCTCGTAGGCGGCAGCCTGTTACGCCCAATGAACAGAAGGAGAGCGGTATAAATGAACAGAAGAGGGAATAAGTAGAGCAGTTTCCTATGTAATAGGTTCTGTCCATACAGCCCGCTCTATGCAAGTCGCAGTTCCTCAACACGCGTTTTGTATTCCGTAAGTGGTCTTACGGAAGCCTTTCACAGTGTTATTGGCACAACCCCTTTGAAAGCCAATACTGAACAAAAACAAGTGAAGGCGACCCACCAACCTGCGCGAATTCCGCAGGAACAAACTTGACCGTCGAGGCTCCTGTATGATAAGAGGGGAGCGGCGACGTCTTTTGCATCTGTTTCTTCAGCCCCAAATTTTTCGTTATTCACCAGGGGGCTTAGTCGCCTTATTGTGATTGCATTTTGAATCCACAAATCAACGAGGGGTAGCTTTCCGCGGGACACCGCCTGCGTTTAAACAGTCGAACGCCACAGTCGTGTGGTTGTTGTCTGTTCCAAACTCGAATGCGCAGACCTTTCTGACCGGCATTTCGCATGATGGCACAGGCAGAGTTCCTATTCAATTCAGGGGAGGCCAACGGGAGGAGTGGAGGGTAAGAAAGAGTCTTTGCGCAAGTCAGGTGTATGCGCATGGCTTTTAGCTTGCCCTGCGCCGGTAGCAGGAACATTTCGTAGACGCAGTGTCTTTTCGCTTGTGCTGCTTGATGTGCTTCCAGTAATACTCTCATTGTCGCCTCCTCTCTACGCGTGTGCCTGGTCTATGCTGAATGTGTTTGCTTCTCCTGAAAGTCCTCGTCAATATGCTGCTTGCTGCTGCTCGTGTCATGTTCTGAGCAGACCCGGAGAAACAATAGCAGGTGCAGCAGCAGAATCCGCCGGAACAGTTGCAGATGGGTGGCATGTTGCGGATCGCGCAGCCGAGGTGGCGCCCAACATGCTTTTACTGCCGTTGCAGGGCACCAAGAGCTGCGTGTTTATGGAGGAGGCGGAAGAGGCACTCTTCCCGGAGGGCCCGTCAGAGGTAGATGAATACGGGGCCCCTACATCTTGCGGGGAGTGTGGCGCTTCTCAGCTAGACATAGCGCTGCTTCCGGCGTCTGCCTCCCTGCCGTCCTCACCAGGTGTCAATTTATCATCAAGCCCTGCTGATGCCCCCCCCAGAGCTCTAGGAGCGAATGCCACTTGCGTTGCGTACGCTGTGAGACCAGGGGTTGTTAGGGTGGTGCGGGTCCTGGACCACCAGGCCCTGGAGGCTGCCTCCGTCTGCAGGGTAAGTCCATCGAGTTTATTATCACCTTGGGTGTTTGGAAGGTCTTATTAACTGTCTTTGATTGAGTTGTTCCGTGCGGGTGTAAGTCTGCAGCCGTCGTCACCGTCGGCTGCCTACGATCTCCTCATCGTAGCGCCAGTGTCAGGAACAATAGCTACTGCTGTTGTTCCTGAGCAAACGGTAGTGTCGCGGCTTGCGTTGCTGCTGTGCGTATTATGCACTGATCCACCGTTGTTAGTCTGTGTGTGCAGTTTTGGTTGCCCTGTTTATTTCTATTTATGCGGCGTATAGTTCATGCAGCCCCGCATGCATGGCGTTTAAAACTGTTCGGTGAATCCCCTCAGGTTTTGCTCCCGCCGCCACCGCTGGGGTCCCGGGGCCCTCGCGCCGCGGCGCATGTGTCGCTGTGTCAAGAGAAACCTCACTTTCTACTTCTGGCAGACAACCTTGGCCTGGTAGTGGTGTACAAGCGGAAGGCAGACTCCCCTAGTGGCCAGACTGCGGGACAGTCTGTCCCCACAGACACCGAGGGGGTCCCTCAAGGCCCTTCGAACCAAGCAGGGGGGGCAGTTGGCGTTCCCACAGACACTGCTTCGCCCTTTGTGCAGCTGCAACTCAACCTCCAAGAGCACGGCCCTCTTCTTGACGTCTTTTGGCTGCCCGCGCTGCCACAGCAACAGCAACAGGATTCTGGGGGAGGCGCAGCAGAGGACACAAAGGTGGCAGGTGGTCGTTTCTTCGTGACGGTGCAGCGCCACCACGTTGCCGTCTGGTCTGTTCCCCTGCTGCGAATTCTGGCAGTTACTCTCCGGAAGAATCCGCAGTCAGAACCTGTTAAAGTCCGCTGCATCTGCACGTGTATCTGCACAGACCCATGCCCAACGTGTGTTACTGCATCTCTGCATATGCCCGTTATTCTGGGCGTGCGTGGCCGTACATCAGCAACCGCTTTATTGGCCTGACCATGCTGTGCTTCTATTATCAACTGTATATATATATATATA